AGGTCTGTGCTGGAGATTAGATCGCTCTTAAGTGGCTACTAAAACACCTGATTGGGGGCTTATAGCTACAGTTGAATGGTAGGTTTTTATTTCATTTATGCCTTTCATCCATGATTCTAGTCACTGAACAAAAATGATAAAGGAATAAAGCTAGGAATATACCTGGGTTCATCCCCAGATTCCAATGATCACTTGATCTCAAACAGCTTAGTTAACTTCTTTCTTAGTTTCGCTGTCTATTAGATGAGGATAATAATCCTGTATAAGGATCTAATGGAGAGGAAGTTCAATGGGTTAAATGAAATGGTGTCTTGAGTAACCTTCAAATCCTGGCTCTCAAATCTAGAAGGGAACTCAAATGTCACGTGGTCTAAGTCCTCTGCTTTCACAAATGAGGCAACTGAGAAGAATATTCTACACAATTCCAATGGATCCCATCACTTTGTCAATGCTAATTTATAAAGTCTCCCAGCGCTTCATTTACAGCAAACACATTGCGTTCTTCATATTAGTGATTAAAAGAGAAGCTAAGGGAACTGCCAAAAATATACACAAACCAAATCAAAAGAAACAAACCCTGGAGTACAAAGATGAGAGAGCAGAAACCATATTCTTAACATATACACACATTTGTATTAATTTCAGAGAGGAAGGGAGAGGGAAAGATAGAGAGAAACATCAATGATGAGAGCGAATCATTGATTGGCTGCCTCCTGCACGCCCCCTATTGAGGCTCCAGCCCACAACCTGGGCATGTGCCCTGACTGGGAATCCAACTGTGACCTCCTGGTTCATAGGTCGATGCTCAACCACTGAGCCACCCTGGCTGGGCAGAAACCATATTCCAATGTAAGCACTTCTGCTCCAGCTCTCCCTCCCTCCACAGCACTTGGGGATTTTCACTGTCACTGCAGAAAGCTGTTTCAAGCCTTTGCTCTACCTGGAAACAGAAGGTGCCTGTCCTAGCTTTACTCAAAGCTCTGGTGGTGGATTAATACTCTGCAAAGCCTTGAAGCTGGCGACAGAGAATAATGTTTGGACTCTATCGATCGAGTGAGACACTCCCATAATACATGCCAGGCACTTTCACAGAGGTTGTTGCCTTGTTACAATGACATGCTCCCCCTACTAGGTGCTAAGCACACCACTAACATGGAGGCGCCTATAATACGATCAAAGCAGGCTGGGGAGACATTGCCACACTGAGCACAGACTATACCAGATAACCCATGAAGTTAAAGAAAATACCAGCCATACCTTGAAGAAATCAGGTCCAGCCTAATAAGAATCAGCTGGTAGGCTCTCCCTAGTTCCCCTATCCTAGTCTCTGTTTGCTTCTTGTTCTTGGAAACCTGCAATCATAGTGCATCTTCATCAAACAGATGAATAAGGAATAGGAAACTAAAAAAAAGAGGGGAGCAGATAATCCATTTCATTGTGTTTTCCTGAAGGCCCACCCATCATACTGCAGATTTAGAGAGAAAAATCAATAAGAAGGTTTTTCTCTGTATAATCCATTTGATGCGTAGTTTCCCGCCTGCTTTGAAACAGACATTGTTATTCCAAGAAACATCTCCTATAAAAAACACTTTATCCTCTAGAGGATGGGGAGAGGGCTAAACAGAGGCAGAAATGAGGCCCTCTGTGGCCCTCAGTCCAGGGTGGGCTGTGGACTTGCTCACAACTCCTCCTCTCTCTTCCTTTCTGCCTTCCTGGTCATTCTCCTGGGCTGGGGATGCCCAGTGATGCCTGCCCCACTCTGGGAAGATGAAAGATACAGCTGTTTGATTTTTCTCTAACATTCCCAATGTTTCAAGTTAGAATCTGAACCTTGAAAGAAAAGGAAATCTTTGACAATGGCTTCAATCACTTTCCGTGATCACAAATAGATATCCAACTACCATACTCAAATACTTGTTCCATTTTAAACAGGGAAGATTCATTCATCCATTCATTCATTCATTCCACACCACTCGCGGGGTGACTCCTCGTGCCTGGTACAGCCGGGGAGGAAAGGTATGCACGTAGGGGATGATGAAGATCAGCAGGTAAATAGTGCTGTGTGGACCTAATCGGTTGGGAAAAGCATTAGTAGATTGCTTTTAAGCATTTCTGATATTACTTTTGCTTTGAAAACTCGGTTTGATTTGGTGATAGAATACCATATGAATTCAGGTAGCCACAGAAACACATTATCTCAGGAGCCCTGACATTCCCCTCCCACTTGTGCTTTGGCATCACTTAGTAATCACTTTAACTGGTCCTTGGTGATGTAGGTTTCTTCTGCTTGGCCTTGCACCTACACTTTCACAACTAAGTGACTTCTGTGAAGAGATGGGAAAAAATTTGCATCTCATGCTTGGCTATCTTTCCCAA